CTGCACGCCCTGCTCTACGCAGCCGCAAAACCGCACAGCCGCCGTCTGCACCTCAGCCTTCTGTTCTAGCCGCTGACTCCGCTCCGGCTCCTGAACAACAGCCCTCCGTGTCTGCCCCTGCCGCTGCTCCGTCTGTCGATGCCACCGCGGCCACTGCTCCCACTAGCCGGGAAAACGAGCTTCGGGAGGATCACGGTAGCTCGCGTTTGAACCAGCCACGCTGCTCTCCGCGCCGTAGCCACCCGACTGAGAAGTAGCGGATGGAGTGTGTGTGTGTAGGTGTTTTTTTCTCTGCAGCTGTTATTAATGGTTTTTTATTTCATTTCATGTATGGTTCCTGTCAGAACACTGATTTTCTGATTTTGTTCGTGCTTCACCGTGGGCAGGTATTATGACTACACATTCTTTTGTTTTTTTCTGTTGTGCATATATCTGGTAAGTATCACTACATACGTATCTGTGTTTTTTCTCGATAAACTGCGAAGGGGTTAACGCTTGAACATTGCCGTTACTTTTTACACTTTCAAACTACAAATGCGATGCGTTCAATAAAATACCATGGCATCTGCAGCTTGAAGTTCTAAAAAAGCGGTACTTTTTCGAACAAAAAACACTTGCACACCTACAAAAAACACATAATTACGTAGAAAAAACATAAAAAACTAATTAAAAAACTAAATTAAATTTGTAATTGTTTTTCGGGTTTACCTGTAATTAGTATACAGTATTACATAACCTATAATTAGCCCTAATTAGTGTACACCTGTAATTAGTGTACGGTTACGCTCCACTACACTACATAATTATACGTTACGCTCGGATGCACGCACGTCACGCATGAGCGCACTAATTATAGATAATTATAGAGTAGAGTACAATAGGTAGGGTCTAAACTCCCTGTCTAATCTACTTCGTCATTGTCATTAATCTTTTAAACATGACCTGTTGGGTCCAAGATGCTTGCATCATCATTGTTGAATGTATCTGATTCCCATTTTTTTTAGATGAATGTTTTAGCTTCCACAAATAAAGATCAGTTAAGAACTGAATGGTCATTAAGTTCAGTAGCGTTCTGCATACTCTTTATTGCATTACTAAGTCTTATTAATTTTAATCTTTTTCTTCCAACAGTTTTCTCTTACTTGACATCGACCTTGCTCATTCACAAACTGTCCCACAGTGAAAGTAGTGTTGATTGATTGAGTGACCAAACTACCACTGCTGTTTAGTGCAAACTGCCCGTGAGGTGAATGAGTGACTGGCCTAACACGGCTATCCAATTGATACCTAGGGTAGGCAATAACTGTTTCTTACATTTGGGTATGTATGTTTTCGCTTCGGAAATTCAGTAATTTATCAACATACTAATCTAGACCGGCTGGGGACCTTAAGAAATGCGGAGGCGTAGCCGACGTCATTTCTTGTAATATTATATGCCGGCCTATGAATCTGATAGCAGATTATGAAAAATAAAAAATTATGTCGTGCAAACTGGCGCTGTTTCGGTTTCTTGGTTTCGCATCCATGCTAAAGGTGTGTAGTGGAACTAGTTGTCACATCTCCCAAGTGACTCATGTCGGGCAAAAATTCCCACGTTTATACGTTTTGTTTAAAATGTGCTGATGGAAGCAATGGAATGTCCAATTGCTCATGCATGCTTTTGGTCTTTTAAAAAAAGGGTTTCATTGTTTTCAGAACGTGCAAATAATCCCGTTGACGGTTGTCGCGAAAAATATTCTGACAATGCGTAATACTGCCAAACCAACATAAGTACGTCAATGAAAAGCTGAAATATAAACCCATCCGGTTCCGGTAACCGGAATCTAGCTCACCTTGTCGGGGATACTATCTGCCAAGATGCCAACATTTTGCATCTCATTGGTAATTGGGAAGAATGCCTTCCTCAAACACTGATAACAATGCACATGAAACTAGACTGCACGGAAATTATCTCTTCCCAGATTTGATAATGAAATCACCGATGTCATCTTTATTTTTATGACATCATATTGTGAAGAATTGCTGCTGCTTCAGTAGCAGGATGTCACTATGCTGAAGGAAAGTGCTATCATTAGAATAAAGGTGGGCAAGATCAGGTCATGGGTCTGGAAGATAGTACAGTATTTAAACTGATACTGTGACCCATCCTTCCTCGCCGTTCTGCGATTGTGCCACAGTTTCACCGAAAGAATGATATCCAATTTAATTAAAGAGTCCTCCCGTTCGGCGCAGAATGACTCCACTACTCAAAAGACGCGAGTTCGAGAATTTTGGTTTAGGTTACTAAGTTTAACTACCACTGTCCCGCAGCAGAATAGGCGAACAGTGAGCGATGCTGCCACTATCCGGCTCACATTTAACGCTCGAAATGCGCTCGAAATTACAGTCTGTTTTTTTTAATTTTTTATTCAGGAGTGAAAAAGGGGCGTGGCTTATACACAGCCATACAGGAAGTGAGAATGCTTTGACTCTGTCCAGTGCGTATATATGTACAATAATACAGCCACATTGACTACAACAAGTTTCAACCAAAAAGCTCCAGTATGTCAGATGCATGTGTGTCGATGCGGCAGCACCGTGGACAGTCTCGGACACCATGGCCTGGTTTGCAAGCTGGCGAAAGGAAGGCTCGGTGTCCACGCCGTTCTGAATGAAGCAACCAAGCGGGCTTTGACTTCGGCAAAAGTGCCTTCCTCACTCGAGCCGGTGGGCTTAGACAGAGGCGACGGAAAGCGGCCCGACGGAGTGACAGCTTTCCCGTGGAAGAATGGAAAGCCGCTAGTGTGGGATGTTACCGTGGCAGACACCTTTGCCCAAACTTACATCGGCCAGACGTCCAGAGCGCCGGGGAGTGCAGCGGAAATACGGGAAAACCGAAAGTTAGGAAAGTACAGCGGGCTGGCAGATCGCTACGTTGTTCAACCGCTGGCGTTCGAAACTACGGGAACATTCGGACCGCTGACGAAGAAGTTCTTTAAGGATTTGTCGAGAAAGATCTGTGACTGTACAGGCAACCCTCGCTCAGGGGAGTTTTTGCGTCAGAAAATAGGTATCGAGATTCAGCGAGGAAATGCAGTATCTGTTCTCGGTACTTTTAGTGACATGGTGGAGAAGGAGGATGTGTATTTTGCCTTCAAATTAGCTAAACGGCAATGAATGTTAAGGATTGTTGTTTTTGTTAATTGTGTAATACGCTATGTAAACCAAAAATTAGGAAATGGACTGTTTATAGAAATCCAGAAAGCCACCCTAGACCAGAAGAAACACGGAGGCGAAGCGGAAGTAGTTTCATAATAATTACATTAGAGCACATTCGGCATTTCAGCTGTAAATTGTTTTTCAGCTGGCTAACGAAAGCGTGCAGATAATAAGCAGGTTGCTGATACCGGTGCCCTTTATCACGACAAGCTACCAATGAAGCAATCATCTATTCAACGAAAATCAATAATACCAGTTTGCAGTCAGTGGATAAAACCTATGGATGGTTCAGTGTACATACCTGACTGCCTGGAAATCCGCGTTGGCGCATTTGATGCCAGTCGCTTTCAGTGTGAAATTGTGCCTGTGCAGTAAGACCCTGACCAGATACAAGAGTACTTTCTGTTTTTTGGGTTTCTTCTATCTTCTTTCTTCTATCTTCTTTCTTCTATCTTCTTTGGGTTTTTGGGGCAATTTGATTAATGGTTGTGAAGCTGGTAATACGGGAGTGAAACTCGCTACATCGATTAAACAACGTCTGGAAATCGGTATTTTGTTTATTTCTGTTTATCCTGTTAATGAAGGACATGATTCCACAGGAACATTTTCTAAGAATCATCGGAATGCAAGCAGAAAGTTTCTATTGCATTGCGTGGTAAACATCCCCGTGCTGAAAAAGGGTGGCGTTGTTCACATACATCGACAGCGTTTCGTGACTTTACCTGCCTCCCTACGGACGATCTTCAGTAGGGATTCCGTCCGCTTGTTACGGAATTTTGTCTGTCGCATATCATTACATGAGATTAGAAATGCAATCAGAAAAGTTCAGCCGTTTTTTTTTTATTACAACCAGACAACAGCCTACTATGGTACTTCATAGCGCCTCGCTGTCCACCGCGTGTGTATTGGAACAAAATCCGTCAGTAATGCACGGTAGCAACAGAGCAAGTGTCTGCAACATCAATTTATTCGAAGAAAATTTATTGGAAATGTCTTTTTTGGCGTCTTCTAGACACCTGGGAGGCTTTTCTTTCCACCTGTCAAATTATAAAAACCCGTTATGACAATGAGAATATCTGCAAAAGCTTTGGCAGTTCATGCAAACCCACAGCTCATAAGTCAGCGCAATAAACGGCCAAATACACTTTCTGGGTTCTAAATCTTCAGGTGTCAAGGACTCAAGCCAACGCAATAAAGTGTTCACTTGTCTGCTCTTCACTGCCGGACAAAACTCAGCGAGCGCGGACCTGAAGGTTGTTTCAAAGGTGGGTGTCGATGAACTGGTGAAACTGTACTGACAACGAGGAATGGTGATATAAAAAGGGTCATGGCAACATCGGATGTGCCGTCGTTCAGGCGCTTCCGGGATGAACATACTCGTATGCTGAACTGCATCGATCATCATAATTGCCATGAAACATATCGATAATCTGCTATTGAAACAGCAATTTTGTAGTACAACACGCCGACAAAGGGAAGCATAATCAATACAAGCACCTTCGGCCAGATACAGATAATTGGGTTGAATGTCCACAAAGTCGTACGTGTACAACATGAGATCTGACCGTGGAAATGGAAAAAATTCGTGTAGGAAGAGCTCGGAGTTGTTGGCGATGACCAGATAATCAAGCTGCACGCCCAAAGATCTCAGTAGCATTGTGATGGGGCGTAGTCGGTCGCTCCAGTTGCCAGTGAGACAAAAGATTCTAGCTTTCGTGGTTACACAGTTCGCAAGAATGTAAGCCATTTCACAGAAGTTTTCACGACAGGTAAAATAACTCAAAATCTGTGTCGTATGCTCAGGCTGATATGGCAGAATTATAGATTGATGGATAACAACCGACGACAACAAATGGTCAAAATGTCTGCACGATCTGCAAAAAAATCAGTCTATACAAAAGCAACAAGAGCGTAACTTGACTTCTACGTGACAACATACGATGAAATAAAATAAAATTAAGTAAGCCTTAAATTAAGGGCCAGTTTATTTATTGTGAGCTATCGATCTGGGAAAGCGCGCTTTGAGTTCTTTACCGGCTCTTTACCGGCGGAGGCAGTGTTGGTCGAAAACATCTAAATAACCGAACACCATCAGGCACAGTTCCACGTAAAGGTCACCAAAACGGGTTTCATCCAGCTCGTTCAGGTCTGCAATTGTGACAGGTCAGAGGCTAAAGTTCACACAATGCAGCAAGGAAATTTTCTTATGACAATTACCATGCTGGAACGTAATAATGGTAAGCATCTCTTCCAGAGCGCGGCGGCACGGAATAATAATGTCTGAGCCAGGAGCAAACAATCTTTTATACCACTCTCCGGATACCGAGAACACGAGCCCTTCGTCGGCCTCTAGTTTATAGCCTCTTCTACACAGCAGCTCAACTTTATCTTCGCTAACGCCGAGAAACATAATATTGCGAGTATTTCGCAAAAAACGACTACGAAATGACGGGAATTCTCGGATTCGCTCTAGAGTATGTTCAGTGTTATCCGAAAATTTGTAACTGCGACGTTCCGCATGTGAGTAAAACATCAGCTGAACGATGGGGATTGTCACTTGACGAAACGACTGTGGTGTGACTGGCGCCCCGAGATATCCGCGGGGGCGGAGACAGCTGAACGCCATACCGATCTCTGTGCTATGCAGGACCAAATAGCGTTTGACAAAATCGCCAAACACGCATACATCTACGTTTACAAGGGATAAATTCTCCATGAGCGTGCCGTCGACAAGAAGAACGACGGGTTGCCAGGATTCTGGCTGATTCTCCTCCACACTAACCAACAGCTCGATTTCTTCTGGCAATGTATTTGGATGAATTAATTTGGATTCCTCGGGATCTACCAAACGCAGTTGATCTATGGGAATGCGCTGTAATCGCTGCATGGAACCCACTCGCACCATACAGTGGTCATTATTGTCGATACCACAAACGTATCCACGATACACAGCATCCCCGCCCAAAATATCCACTAGAAAGCGGTCATAGACGCCAGCGACAAGCGGGTATCTTCCGATTCGCGGTAGAAAATGACGCTCCATATTCAGTTTCCGCTTTAATAATCGGTTATGTGCAGATTTGGATTATGCAGTTACTGTAGAGCGCCCGATAAAGTTAGACCATAAGTATGTTTTACGGGGAACAGTACATGGGTTGCGTGTGTACTGCTGTAGTTCGGTAGGTTTCTCTTGACAACTGTATTCACGCTCTTGAGAGTGGACAGGAATACAGGAATATTGTGTTGTCTGGAGGAGAGTAGTCCCGTGGAATTAAAACGCAAACGCCATTAAATAACATGTATAGTTTTAACGGAGCTTTTCATGGCACATACACTGATACCGTACACTGCGTACAAAGATTGAACCGTGTATTTGCACGTACTTAAACTGCAGGACGTTGTAAGCTGGTCAGGAAGTATTAGAATCTTTCAAAAATAAGATCATAATATGCTGCTTGAAACCGTATGACACTGCCGGTGTTCAGTAAAGCTTATCATCAAAATTCGTGCTTGCATTTTCATAAAACTGCATGAAACATGGGCAACTACAACACAAGAAGGCTGAGCTTTGGTGGTAAACGGGGAACGGAAGGCACAGACAGTACTAGCGTGGCGATATTGATCGAAACAAGTATAGTAGACCATGTGCGTTGGTTACTTGTATGGCCGACAAGTAAGGATCCATCTATACAAGTTACGTCATGACCGAACCCACACCGCGGCGATTCGCTGCCGCGCAAATTAGATGTATGCGTGTGTGAAGGCGGTGCCAAAAATCCATCCACGTAAGGCCCTTACGTGTATGCCTGTAACTCCACCCCTTTGCATGCATACATACAAGTAGCCGATCCAGCTGCCAGTCAACCTCGAAATTTCAAACGCTCGTTTTTCGTTTGCTTCTCAACGGATCTTCCCAGTCGACATATCAGAAGATGGAAAATTAAATTTAAAACTTTTTGGTATTTTGCAAGTGGATATTTATGGCGAATCAAGAAAGTTATGACTGTTTTGGTTTCTCGTAGACTTAACATAGGATGCAAGCCACCGCCTCCTTTCACGGGCCTATGCTAAGTCTACGAGAAACCAAAACGGCCATAACTTTCTTGATTCATAAATATCTACTAGATACCAAAAGTTTTAAATTTAATTCTTCATCTTCTGATATGTCGATTGGGAAGATCCGTTGAGAGATGTACGAAAGAGAAGTTTTCAAAATTTTGGAGATCAACGGGCAGTCAGATTGGCCACTTGTATATGTACATGCGAGGCAGCTGGCACCTACACGCGTGCCGCACACCAGCTCGCTCAAACACGTTACGACCCATACATACAAGCCAGTTTTCAGGCGGTTCTAACGTTAGTTGTATGTATGCATGCGTAACTTGTACACATACAAGTTGCAGCGCTAATGCACTAGTACAGACTACAGATAAGTACTCGTGTACTGCCATATCGATTGGGAAAGCACATCGATGTCGTAATGTGGCAGCTTTATAGTGTAGGATGCATATGCACTAGGCGGCATCCAAAAATTACGTAACGCATTCTGGGGGAGGGGGGAGGCCAGAGGCCTTGAAAGCGTTACTAATTGTTACAATGGGGAGGGGGGCTTTGAAAATTTGATACTATTATGACGTCCCCATGCTATATCTATCGAGGGGTTCTTAATTTTGTTACATAACGCTCAGGGGAGGGGATCTCCGTTTGTTTGCACTGGTGACATAGGGGGAGGGAGGTATCAAAATGTCGAATTTTTGCGTTACGTAATTTATGGATGCTGCCCAGTACTGAAATGGCCTACAATGCTGTATTCCACCTTCCCCAGTTATACCAACATACATGCCGCAGGCCCACATGGATACAGACGAGCATACTTTCAGAGACGTGATAACAATAATAATACTAGGAAAGTGTACTTGCTTATGGCGGGCACTGCATGACCGAAGCTTAGCAGGAATATGAGTACATCAGATATTTAGTACAGTAGGTAATTGCTGGTGTCAGTAAATTATACTCGCAATAATTTTTTTATCTGCTATGCAGCAAAAATTTGTATAATGGGCGTTACGATGAAGTACTCCTATGTAAAGTATCTGTACATAGAGTATTTGTAAAGTATTTGTACATGCTGTAACCGGTGTAACCACCCGAACTCCCGCTGTTCTCCGAACATAGCAGAACTACTGGATTTGGCAGTTCGTGGGCCATCCTGAAAAATATTCTGTAAGACCTATTTGGAGAGAAATACGAGTACTTACTGTCCAAATTACTGTCTCCAATTACAGTCTAAATTACAGTGGACGTACGTCAGAAACGGTGGATCCATGGTTTTGCCGGTTATATACGTGTTGCTGGACAATACTGTAGTTAATGCAGTTCCCAAATTTTATCTATGACGAATCGGGTATATGTCCAGTTTGTTTTATTTGCTTACCATTCGAGTTGATCCAAACCCGGGCAGTTATTTTCAACTATGTATTTAACTTAATGCGAGTTATTTCTATTTCTATTAGTTGAAACGTAGCTATATGTAGCGTAGTTTGTTGCCCGAAAAGCCTGACTCTAACGTAACTCTCATAATATTAAAAATTTCGTAAAAAAATGTCCACGATAGCGTAAATCACGGTATAACATGAAGCACTCATGAATAGCGTAAGGCCGCCGCCGTAACTAACACGCTCCCAGAACCTGTTAATTATAAGGACCGGGTGTGGATTTTTCATAACTGCCCAGGGTTGGTTGATAGCGGTAACATCCCCGGCAAATACCAAAATTTTGCAGCAGGAGCTGATCGTTAACCACAGTTTTGGAAATGCTTAAACGCTAGGCCACTGAAGTTACTACTAACTGCACTATTGTCAGACCAAGACGCAATTTGTCCCTGCCGATGTCCACTGTCCACATCAAGCAGCATCAAGCCGCAGGATACAGACGATTGCACTTTCAGAAACGTGATAACAAAATAAGATTTCATTACGGTATTATATTAATACAATAGTTAAATACTATTAGTATTATTGTTAAATAATAATAATATTGTTTAAGGTTCACCTGGACTTAATCAACTGCTGCGCCTATGTTGAAACAAAGATGTGCTATTAATAATAAACAGGCATGCGAGAATCAAGCCGAGTGGGATGAATGCTTGACAATTAAATAGAGCAGATTACTGTATATACGGCACATTCACCATACCGAATGGTTGTTAGTTGCCGGCTACATACCGTACATCAGTTACCCTTCCGGAGTCGGACCCAGGTTCAAACGCTTAATACAGCCCTATTGTTTTCGTGCAGCAAATTCTGACAGTTCCAATACCAGCCCTCACCCTACCTTGGTAGTACTGTATGAATGGCTGTCTGTGAAGCAGTACAATATATAGGTTCCGTATAATAATGTAGTACATGGTATGCATACGGCCAGTTGTTATCGCGAAAAACACACTAATATGTGATATACGGCAAGTTGTCACGAAAATCACACGTCTCAATCATGTTGTATTTAAGATTTACTTTTAGTACGAGTAGCCTTAACGGCTTAACGAGTCGAAATATTGTTGATTTCTTACCAGCTGTTAGGGCTGTGCTGTGTATTGTCAATAATTTTGTCATCGGTCGTCATATGCAGTATATTGTAGCGATAGTATTTGTACGAACGATAAGACCGCCCAGTTATGATGAATCATTCCATCGCGTTATGAATTTGTGTCCACTTTACCGGCTAGTTTCCTTTCTCATGAATTTCTAGAATTCAGTCTTGAGTCTTGACACTCGCTTGCTACAGCTTGCATCTACTTGATTGTTCCTCTTGCTGAAACCCTGGCTTACAACCTTGCTCCGTTTCTTGAACGCCTTGTCATTAAACATGCCTTGAGTTACGTTGTTGTGTTGACCGCTTGGGATGAACCTGTGTCATCCCAATCGGAGCCACCTGTGTAATTGTGTAACATCAGTTAAGAGCGTCCACGACCGCGTCGTTGCCGTTCGTGCCACCTTTCACACCAACAGCCGTTTAATCGTGGTAAAGGCTGATCGCCACCCCACTATAACAGTAGCCAGATAGGCCACTGTTACATGGCGCTCCTGTAAAGAACCATTCCACCTGGACGCCTGCAGCCTGTACCAGCGATTTTCGTAACATCGCTACTTCCGACACCAACCAGCGGAAGTCCCGGAACGGATAGCCGTTTCGTGAGTGTTTACAGTGACAGTTAAAGCCGTGAAATTTGCTTTGTTTGGTCTTGATACATTAATAACATCAAAGTTTTATATTAATTTTCCGAACGCTAAATTAATTAACATCACTGTTCCTGTTGCGATGCCATTTTATCAGAAAATATTAAAACTGCGAATATAGAAAAATAATTTTTGCTGCATTATTTGTTCGCGCTTTGGCTAACCGTTATATTACCGTTGTTCACCCGGCGCCGCTGTGCCGCCGTGGTCTGGTTCGCGCCAAAACTTCCTTGTGTATCGTAAACACTGGTCTAAATGCTTTAAGAGCACAACATTAACTGTCATGGTCCACCAGTTCAATGGAATCTGAGGAGATAAATTTGCAGTCTCAGCTTGGTGAACTCACCAAGGCGCAGTTGCAGGAGATCAGCAACAGTCTAAACGTGTACATTAATTGGAAAGTCTCTAGGTCAGGTTATGTTGATAAATTATCTTCCTACATGTTAAAGCACAACATTACTTTGCCGAACACTTGTATCAAGAATGATAACACTGGAAAAATTAACGCGCTTTCCCCGTCGACATTACACGCAGCGTCAACGTCTGCTGTCCAGTCTGTGTCCTCTGCCCAACCGGCCCGCAGCCTTACACATGCACCTTCAAGGGAAAACAGTGGACAGAGCGCAGTGCGTGGGAATACAGCATGCACTCACATCAGCCACACAGAACCGGTGCTTCGACACGACAGACTCGAGCAACGTTATAAACAAGAAGAAACATTAATTACCTTTTCAGATGATGAGCCTTCCGATGAGTCACTCACTCAAACTGCTTTGCATAGCACTCAGTTAGCAACCGCCCAGAGAGAGTCTGCCGTACACACAGCTGCGCAGCACACCGCACCTGCTCATACCGCGAACATGACAAATGAGCAAGGACAGTTTAATTTTAACTGCGTGTTGCAAGCGCTTGCTTTACAGTCGCAGAAAAGATTAAGTGGGAAGGATTTCAAATCAAAGTTTTTAACGATCAACCAGATTATAGTATAACAGCTTTCTTTCAACAATTCGAGAGAGCTGCCGATGCAATTGGATGGAGTTCAATCCAGAAAATTTGCATATTACCTACCTACCTTGGTGATACAGCACGTCAATACTTTGAGTGCAATTGGCCTACATGTTCAAAATTAAGTTACGAAGAATGGAAAAGTGAATTAATTGATCGTTTTCTTCCTTTTGATTATCTCGTCAAGAAACGCCTTAAATTATCCAAAATGATGTACCAAAAAGGAACAGACATTAACGATTTT